TGCATCTATATTAATGAAATACCAGTGTGATCCTGAAACCGATTTCTCAATCAGAACAAAGAAAAAACGAGTTCTGACGAAATATGCATAATGAGTTAATCTATCTTGCTCACTTCCAAGCATGAAATCTCTGACTGGATCAAAGTTATAGTTGAAAGCATAAACATATATGGTAGGCTGAGAATCCTGCCCAACAATATGACAAGACGAAATTCAGGCACGGAAAAAAGCTTAAAGACTGAAATTTCGGTCAGAAAATAGATTGGTCGACAACTGGATATCCCCAACATCCGATTCCCAGAGAATGCAATAATTGGCAGGAGGACTGTACAAGACTCTAAGCGTAAAAATACTTGTTAGACGGATATTTTACTACAAAATTCGATTGAACAAGAGAAAAACACGAAAAGAATCTGATTGGCTAATAATATAGCTCAAAGTATAGCCCTTTAATAATAATAATAAAAAGTTGAAAATTAAGCTGAAACCAAAATAAAACCGAAACATAGAATTGGTCATCAATGATTCGAATCAATGATATTCAATCATATTTTTTGATTTTCGATTTCATTATCGATCTTTCTTATTACCCATAGCAATCTTAGTTCGTTAATGTAATGCTTCGAATATATATATGAGGATACGTCACTGCAAATAAGCTTACATACACGTACATAAACTTATTTTATTTCATTCATAAGTTCCTCCTTTAAGTTAAGGGAATACAGTACTTAAAAGATCTCGGACCAAGCTAACCACTTCCTATTCTGTTTTCAGCGATTTTGTGGGATTTAAAGATTTGGACGCCAAAAACTGCTTTTTCCCCCTTGACTTATAGACAATGATGAGGATACTCCATGTAATAGTCATGTTCATTTTTTCGAAGAATATGCAGTGAAATATTTATACATGTTTTAGGTGACTGTAATGAAGGGAAAAAAAGACTTTTCATTTTATACTGTTGGTTTGTCTGGTGAGTTTAAATATGTGTTTAAGTATCTTAAGAGAGATTTGTTAGAATTAAACTGTCTAAATTTAGATAAAAAGGTCTCGACTAAAATGCAATGAAACAAAAGGAACTAAAATCTCTTGTTGCAAATCGATTCGATTGAGATATAAAATTATGAAGAAAACCGAATAATATACTATAGGTAAATAACTTTTTTTGTTTGTTTTAAATATTTCTAAAAGACTACAGATAGTTATGAATTTTAAAAAAATGTCTATTTCATTTTTCTTTTTCTATATTCTATGGTGCTCAATCTGTATTTTTTTTTTGTACGTTTACTTGATGAAATAGTGATAAAGACGTTTTCATGGTCAATGAAGAAAACGAGATATTTTTCCTTTCAGTATCGTGAAAATAATATTTTATTTATTTTTAAAAGATCAAAGAAATAAATAAAGTTTTGAAAAACATGACAATCTAATGGGTGGGCCATAATAAATGTCCCATTTTTGCATTTCATTTTTCCACAACTTAATACGTTGTATTAAAAAAACAAAATATACCATAACATGCAGCGTGAAAAGCTCTACAATTTACATAAGATTGCTTTTTTTTATAGTTGCACTTTTTACTTTACAAGTAATCAAAATTTGGAGCGGTTAAATTTCGACTGTGCGAAAATTGATCGCAGAGAATTTTGCTTTTATACAAAACGATTATAATAAGCTGTCGCGTGCAAAATGTAGAGCTTTTCTCGCTGCATCTAGTGATATATTTTGCTGTTTTTTTTAATAAGAGATATCAGGTGATATAAAAAGATGAAATAAGAAAAAAACAATCTATCTCGTAGAAAAAAAAATACTGTTTTCGCGTAGTCAAAATTTGATTGCTTAGCTGATTTTGAAAACAAAAAGTGCACCTATAAAAAAAAAGCGGTCGTCTATAAATTGTAGAGCTTGTCAAGCTGCATCTTGTGATGTATTTTGTTTCTTTTTAATAAAACACATCAGATGATAAGTAAGAAAAAAACAAATTGGTCGTTTATTGAAAAATGACTTTTTCGCAGCACCAAAATCTAATCGCTCAGAATTTTTGATAGCTTTGAAAACAAAAAGTACAACTGTAAGAATAGCTGTCTTGTATAAATTGTAGAGCTTCTCCTGTTGCATCTAATGGTATGTTTTGTTTTCTTTTTAAATAGAAGATATCAAGTAAAAAAAAGATGAAACGAGAAAAAATGAATTCATCTTTTACCAAAAAAAAAAAAAGTCATTTTCGCACAGTCAAAATTTGATCGCTCTATATTTTATCGGTTTTGAAAGCAAAAAGTGTAACTGTAGGAAAAGCTGCCTTGTATAAATTGTAGAGCTTTTTACGCTGCATCCTGTGGTCTATTTTGTTTTTCTAATACAACGTATTAAGTTGTGGAAAAATAAAATGCAAAATTGGGACATTTATTATGGTCCACCCATTATTATTAACCTTTTAAATCCCCGCGACATACATATACGTCCCACTATTTTAGCTTAGAACATTGGCGATATAAATTAGGTATGCATACTGTTATTGAACAGACATGTCACTAGCTTATTCTTTGATTATTTGAAAAAGTGTTTTGTCTGTTAGATCAAGAACTAAAGTCATCCTAGGAATCTATAATCGGTATAATCATCATTCATTCTCATTCGTTGTTTCACATATGGTATTATAAGTCACCAAGTACGGGTCACATAGGCTAACGTCTATTGAAAGACCGTTGACAACGGATCTTCTCTTCGTCTAACTGCTCAATATTTTCCTTGGCTCGCTCCATAAACATGACGATCAAAACAGCCCCAACGAAAATTTGTTGTTGGCATATTTCATAGTTTTCGACGGGATACAGGAAATGTGTCTGAACAGCAATATGCCTCTATGCATTGTTGATTGTCTTCAATACTATCATACGAAAATGAACTGCTAATGCTCTCTTAACGTAGAAATACAGCGTCTTTCAAAAAATAAATAGACATTATATTTGAAGGATTATTATAAGGATTTGGATTTTCTCAAAAAACAAAAAAAGCTGGGACTCAAAGGGTTAAATTGAGTATAATTATTTTATGGTTTGCTTTTGTTTCAGCTGACTGCAATAAACAACTAAAAAAATTTTCTTTGAGTTGGAGAAAATTAAGACTATCTCTTGCATCGGTTTATAGAGATTGAAGTTACATCATTCTCTGACTCCTTGTAGAGTATATTGAAGCTCTATATTCTTCAAATTACTGGAGTTTATAGACTATTTCTTTCTTTAATTTTAGAAGATTTGTTCTATACCTTTCTCCCTCTTTATGAAGATTTTACATCATGAATTTATTTTACCAATGAAATAGCGATTGAAATTACCTGAAAAAATGATTGCATTACTTATGCAATACCTATAAAGCATCAAAACATAACTAAAATCTCAGTACAAGTTCGAGTTTCTATGAAAATCCGATCATGAAAATGAAATTTAATACAAATGTCATGTAGCGCCCTCTTTTGAATAGAATAAAAATCAAATATTAGAATTAGTATAAAGTCTAGAATAAGATTTTTATAAGATTCCGTAAGTATATGATAAATTATTTATTGTTGTTGATTTTTTTTCTTTGTATCGAATTAACATACCAATCAGAAACTAGAATCAATTCCTTCGTTTTTTTTTTATTACATTGGTTTTTATTTATTTGTAATTTGGTCTTGACAATTTACTAAAACAATATGGCAACTCTTCTTAAGTAAAAATGAAATGTTAATCAATCAAACAAAATCGCCTAATTCTAATTTTATTCTTTAGATGGGCAACAAAATTAGCTATTGTTGGTGGTGCTACTGTACTTGTTATTAATCATGAAGTATTTGGTACAAATAAATATACTAAACAAATCATCAATGAAGTTCGTACATCATTACCCGATACAGCTGAAGCATTCGATCAAATGCCAACAAAACAAGAGCTTAATGATTCTATTGTAAATAGTTGGAATTCGGGTATGAATTATTTTCTGAAAACTTATTCTTTCTTATTTTTTTTTTTCAATTTATAATTGAATTTCTTTTTTTTTACAGGCATTCAAACAACATTTAAATGGCTTGCTAATGCTCCAACACATACATGCCAATTATTTTCTTCTATTTCTAACAAAATTAAAGGCTAAGAAAAAGAAGAAAAAAAAAAAATAAGATCGATTATAGTCAATAATAGTTAGTGTTTGTGCGTGTGTTGTTTTTATGGTCTCCAATATATATTAGAAAAAAAAAAAAAAAAACATTCTTTTTCTTGCATTTATTTATTTTTCTTTTGTGGATGAGAGAATACTCTATCGCGCTCTACACATTTGTTGATTAGATGTATATACGGGGCGCAAAATGTTGTTATTGTATACTATATAGTCGGGGCTATGGGGTCGTACGTCGAACACAACAGAACAACAACAACATCGATACTATGCTATTCGTTGTGGTAGCCTGTTTCTTTTTTTCTTCTTCTTCGTCTTATTTTCTTTTCCTCTCACTTCATCGTGCTATCAAAGCAACAACATCAGCTTCATGGCAACGTTCGAGCAAGAAGA